CAGGATGTTTATACTTTGCAAGTTGCATCCTGAGATGAAAGGCTATACAATGTGTTCAACATAATGACTTTGTTCGACTTTCAATCACAGGGGTGAAATGTTTAAAAAAAAAATAACAGGTTCTTTTGAATGAATTTTAATCATAAATACTGATATTTTGCCTGTAGCTTTATTTTAGATCACTTTTAAGGTTACAAGTGTGAGTTTTATACCAGGTGAGCGATGCAGGCCCATTGGGCCTCTTGTTAATAAATTCTTTTTAAAAATCGGTGTACTATTAGAGGATGGTGTTTGCCAACTTTGTTTATTTTGATTAATTTAAAAAAATTACGTTAATTGCCTTATCAATTCATATAGCAACACAAATATCTATTTTGCTAGATATTTGCATCTTTTATTGATTATTAATCAAGAATAAAAAGTTAAATTTTCATCTGTCTGCAAGTTCTGTGTTTAAACGGATCTGGAAAAATCCTGTCTTTTCAAAATGGCAGACCATGCAATTTGATGATCTTTCTTAAAAACAATCCTGAAAACATCTATAGCTATGTAATCTGCGCACCCTCACGCCAACTTCACTTAAATTTAATGCAAAAAAACTGCGCAAATTGCATGAGTTTTTATGGTACAGTATTCAGAGCTTCATTAAAAACAGTGTTTACCTGTCAGACACTCTGAATCTACAATAATATCATCATTAAAAACAGTGTTTACCTGTCAGACACTCTGAATCTACAATAATATCATCATTAAAAACAGTGTTTACCTGTCAGACACTCTGAATCTACAATAATATCATCATTAAAAACAGTGTTTACCTGTCAGACACTCTGAATCTACAATAATATCATCATTAAAAACAGTGTTTACCTGTCAGACACTCTGAATCTACAATAATATCATCATTAAAAACAGTGTTTACCTGTCAGACACTCTGAATCTACAATAATATCATCATTAAAAACAGTGTTTACCTGTCAGACACTCTGAATCTACAATAATATCATCATTAAAAACAGTGTTTACCTGTCAGACACTCTGAATCTACAATAATATCATCATTAAAAACAGTGTTTACATGTCAGACACTCTGAATCTACAATAATATCATCATTTTTGCTTATGAATCAATATGATGTTTTTCGTTAATTTGAAACATTGACAATATTTGTGAACAAACAGTTACATACATTTGCTGTATGTTTTTGTCTGCAACATGGAAAGTAATATAATATTGAGTGGTGTGTGCAAAACCTAAAATCACACTGGCAATTAAAGATATAATAAAGAATTCCTTGAATTGAAAGTTATTTTAGATATCTGCTGATTGAACTACAGTGATAAATTTACTTGTTGAGTCTGGGTTATCAACTCCTGCTCAAACACTAATAGCTGACAAATGTACATCAGCATTTTTTGCTACTGTTTAAATAACCAAAAATCAACAAATTTATGAACGATGATTTTATTGTAGAACTTTCCAAACTGTCTCCCATGGACGTTATCATTTTATGTTTTTTCTTGGTGTGAGTCCCCGAAAGATCTTCACACAGAGATTATTTGACATATACATAGGTTGTCAGATATGACAAAATCTTCTTCAACAATCATTTTCCCTTAAACTTAAACTACCAGCTGTATGTTACCTCCTATGTGGGGAACAGACTCCTTGTTACAAATCACTGAAATCAGAGGATAACGACTAAGTGTCGGTTAGCTGTGTGCAGTCTAGATCTAGAGCATTGTACTGTCTGGTACTGGGAGGTTTGACACGGTATATCAGGGCAATGAGTGTGAACAGGGTCTTTAAGTATGAGATAATTGTAAGATATTAATTATTTGTCCCCTACCGGTGAAACCGGGGGGACTATAGGTTTTGTCTGCGTCCGTCCGACCATCCGTCCGACCGTCCGTCCGTCGCCAAAATCTGCAGGTTAAGGTTTGGGTTAAAGTTTTGTAATGGCTTACCATTCACTTAATAATGATGTTATAATTAGGATGCTGATTCTTAGCATAGAGGTTGTTTAGGGGATTAGCATTAATGCTGTGGATTGAAAAGGGAAAATAATTTTACTTTTTGGGGAATTTTTGACATGTTTTGGGCTTAACTATCCTGGCCAAAATGTTCAGGTTAAAGTTTTGTAATGGCTTACCATTCACTTAATAATGATGTTATAATTAGGATGCTGATTCTTAGCATAGAGGTTCTTTAGTGGTCTAGCATTTATGCTGTGGATTGAAAATGGAAAATAATTTTAATTTTTGGGGGGAATTTTTGACATGTTTTGGACTTAACTATCCTGGCCAACATCTGCAGGTTAAAGTTTGGGTTAACGTTTTGTAATGGCTCACCTTCACTTTATAATATTGTTAGGATGGTGATTTTATGGACAGAGGTTGTTTAGGGGTCTAGCATTAATGTTGTTGAGTGAAAGTGGATAAATAGTTTTTATTTGTTTTTATTTTTGACATGTTTTGGACTTAACTATCCTGGCCAACATCTGCAGGTTAAAGTTTGGGTTAACGTTTTGTAATGGCTCACCTTCACTTTATAATATTGTTAGGATGGTGATTTTATGGACAGAGGTTCTTTAGGGGTCTAGCATTAATGTTGTTTAGTGAAAGTGAATAAATAATTCTTGTTTTTTTAATTTTTGACATGATTGTGACTTAACTATCTTGGCCAAAATCTGAAGGTTCAAGTTTGGGGGGCCGGTAGGGGACATGTATTGATTAATCAATACCCACAGAATGCTTGTTCTTACTGTTTTTTAAGTGTTGACTTTCTACACCAAAGTATAGGCGTTATGTGTTATGTACAGAAAGTATGATCATATAGAGAGATTTTCTTGGAAAGTAGCCTCTGTTCATTGAAAAAGAATGATGATATAGTTCTTAAACCAGCTTGGCAATTTGTTGTTTGTTTGGTCAAAGTCATAGTTTGTAGTCAAATGTCAAATATCAAATTTCTCCTGATTTGTTTTGACTTTAACTGAAAGTCACATCTGTAGGGTCAGAAAGTCAGGCAGATCTTCAGTGCTTTAGCTGATGGTGTTTTTTTTTATTCCTGTTTCAGCCTTGCCCCAAACGGACGCTACCTGCCCATCGTATACATAGATCATATCAGTTTCAGAGTGCGGGATCTACTGGTAAGCTTTGTAATGTTAATCACAACGATGGTAATTATAACCACCTATAAAAGTCTGCTATGTCAATATTTAATATGAAATAAATCATTTTCTACATAAGTACATATTCCATATATATGTCAGCCACCATGTGATACATAATGACGAATTACATTTATTTGAAATTGAAATAATTGAAAAAAAAACATACAGTTGTGGGATCGCGCATTGTTACACAATGTGCAGTGACCGCACGGTGTATGCATGATGTGCGAACGATAATAATCTGGACGATTATTGCTTGCGCACATTTGTGCGGACGATGGGCAAACGTTGTGCGATGACAACCAGGGCTGGTGTAAATTGATAAATGGCTTAAATTAACTTTATATACAATTTCGTTTTTAAGCATATCAATTTAAATTTTTTAAAGTATATTTCTATATTCTAGCTACATATAAAAGCTGATCTTTCTATATTTTCTTAAATTAAGATATTGAGTTTTGGTGTTTTTCAAACGACCCAAATTGACACATGTAAAATTATAACACATATGGACACAATCCCATATATACAGGTAAACATAGCCACATCGTACATGAACCTGGGTCATAGTTTTCCCCACCCAAGGCACTTACGTAACTCGTCAAGGTGAAGGGGAGCTTTAGGCCCAAAGGAATGCAAATAACAAATGCTTACGTCCAGTTATATTTTCATAACAGTCATACAATATCGTATATCAGCTCTCTATGTCAGGCACAGAGCGCCAGGTAAAACTCCAGTCACTCATCAAAATGTTATTTACCTGTTCTGTTACTCACTCATCAAAATGTTATTTACTTGTTCTGTTACTCACTCATCAAAATGTTATTTACCTGTTCTGTTACCTGGGAGCCAAACTCATTCCTCATTCTTGACAGTCTTAACGGACACTGTAATATTGTGTAACACGCATTGTAAAATTGGACATAATTTTGATTAATATGATGAGAAATTTATATATACTGTGTTCCTTATTCCATATGAGCCTTCCAGATTTTTTCATTCTATAATATAGATCAACCAATTGTACCAAATCGCACATTTGTGTGGAGAGAAATGGCACAACGGGGCAAACGATTGTTAAATTGCACAGTTGTGAGCACCATATTGCATGTGTGGATGTAACATGCGGACGTTGCGGATGATGTATGCATGATGTGTGCACACTATTTTTGGTGCGTTGTGCATTCACACAACTGTATATAATAAAAATAACCAAAAAATAAAGGAATCAGACTCAGGACCTATTCAATACAAATCTTCCAACTTGCCAATGTTACTATCCTAGAGTGATTATACACAACAAATAAAAGGGTGGTATTTACATGACATCTTTGCAAAGATTCTAAAATGCAGACGTGAAGAGGTGAGTTTTTATGTCCCTCTTGAACTTCGCCAGGGTATTTGACTTCCTAATAGCAGACGGTAAGCTATTCCACAACGTAGCTGAAACCCTCCCAAAGCATCTGTTTCCGTAGGTCACAGTACGAGATTTTGGGACACATAACAAAGATTCTGACTCCGACCACAATGAACGTATGCGCACTCAGAGAATATAATATATACGTCTCTGGCACACCGCACCCCCTTCTTTACAATATATATAAGATATATGTTTTTAGGTCACCTGAGCTTTGCGCAAGTGACCTATTCTAATCGCTTTCCGTCCGTCGTCGTCCGTCGTGCGTCGTGCGTTAACTTTTTACATTTTCAACTTCTTCTCAAGAACCAGTGGATGGATTTTTTTCAAACTTGGTCAGAATCATACTTGGTAGATGAGGCTACAAAATCATAAAATTGGGGTTCCTACCCCAACCCCTGGGGCCAGGGCGGGGCCCCAAAGGGAAAATTAATCAATATTGCAAAAATCTTCTTTTCCAGAATCCAGAGGTACTACACTCATTTTCTCTACATGAAAAGAAAGATCATCAGGGGCTTTACTTAAATTGTAAATTTCAGGACCCCCGAGCTATCCGTTCTCCCTTGGGGAGGGGGTAAAGTTTATTATAGTTTATATAGGGAAATAACACTTTTGGGTATATATTTCATCTATTTTCAGCAGAAAATTACTCAAACTTAGTGAGAATCATCTTTGGTGAATGAGAGTATTACTTTGTAAAATTGGGATTGCTGCCTCATCCCCAGGGACTAGGGCGGGGCCCCAAAGGGAACATTTACCAATATTTTCAAATTCTTATCCTTTGATGACATGACAAGTATAAAGCATCTGTTTCCGTAGGTCACAGTACGAGATTTTGGGACACATAACAAAGATTCTGACTCCGACCACAAAGAACGTATGCGCACTCAGAGACTATAATATATACGTCTCTGGCACACCGCACCCCCTGCTTTACAATATATATAAGATATATGTTTTTAGGTCCCCTGCGCTTTGCGCAAGTGACCTATTCTCCTCGTTTTCCGTCCGTCGTCGTCCGTCGTGCGTCGTGCGTTAACTTTTTACATTTTCAACTTCTTCTCAAGAACCAGTGGATGGATTTTTTTCAAACTTGGTCAGAATCATACTTGGTAGATGAGGCTACAAAATCATAAAATTGGGGTTCCTACCCCAACCCCTGGGGCCAGGGCGGGGCCCCAAAGGGAAAACTAACCAATATTTCAAAAATCTTCTTCTCCAGACTCAGAGGTACTACAGTCATTTTCTCTGCATGAAAAGAAAGATCATCAGGGGCTTTACTTAAATTGTAAATTTCAGGACCCCCGGGCTATCCGTTCTCCCTTGGGGAGGGGGTAAAGTTTATTATAGTTTATATAGGGAAATAACACTTTTGGGTATATATTTTATCTATTTTCAGCAGAAAATTACTCAAACTTAGTGAGAATCATCTTTGGTGAATGATAGTATTACTTTGTAAAATTGGGATTGCTGCCTCATCCCCAGGGACTAGGGCGGGGCCCCAAAGGGAACATTTACCAATATTTTCAAATTCTTATCCTTTGATGACATGACAAGTATTGTGTTTCACTTCGTTTACATGCTGATTTCCACATCACATCTAAACAATAAAATAAAGCTAACAGTACCTATGATATAACTCAGGTGACTGCTAAGGCCCTTGGGCCTCTTGTTTCAATTAATCCCAGTCATAAAACTTGAAACGTTTTTATTCTGTATGCAATTCAAGAAATTTAGCACATAATAAGTATACACACCACTTCTAGGAATATTGCAGAGGCCTAGGGAGAACCTGTCCGTTCAAGTCTCACATAGATTAGTAATTTATCAATAAACCACCTGATCAGATATATAACATGGTCCAGAATTAATTGACTTGTTTCTAACTTTTATCTGTCGAGTGATGCAGTTGTACTGATTGTGGTTTGCATGTAATGTGACTCTGTGACATTATACTTACCGGTACACATTTCATTTATTTATATTTTTCTTGAAATTGATCCTTATACCAGAGATGTAAGTAATATATATACGTCTCTGCTTATACATTTCCCAATTATCTCACCTGAGGACATGGTTGTTAAATTGAAAATTGGAAGACTCATAATCTACACCAATTAATCTACATACTAACTTCAGGAACCCCCTTGCCTGGTTTAGTCTCACCTAGCATACATTTCTAAAATACCTAGTCTCACCTAGCATACATTTCTATAATACCTAGTCTCACCTAGCATACATTTCAATTTTCACACCTGATCACAATTTGGTTTTAGTCTGTTTCAAAATGATGTAGATGGTATTGTAATACATATTATAATTAAGAACTTATGTCTACTTTAATCAGAGAAATATTACATTTTCTTTGTAAAGAATTATAAAGACACGTGGTAGTAGATGAAATATGAATATTCAAAAAAATTGATACATTTATTTAACCTGAAAATAATAACGATGTTACAGATATTATAACAGGTACAGTACTAGCCGCCTACATGTTATTAAAATCTTAAATTATTGTTGATTAAGTAAATTAGCCTCATTAAATAATCTTGATATCAAAGATTAATTAAAACTCTGTAATGCATTGTATATAAATTTCAACTGATACAATAACAGTTGACTGAACGTTTTTATATTTCCTTTATTTTATAGTTATGTCTGCAAAATTTCAATCTCAAGCTGATTTTGTGTGAACATACACTGTAGATAGGAATTATAATGTTCACTAATCCAATTATAGTCACAAATGTCAATATTGTCAACATTTATTCAAAGCCAGGGCTATTGGCCCTTATACATTTGTATGTGGTACATGATGTACAAAAAACGATGTATAGAGAATGTATAGAGATGATGTACATACATGTAATACACAATATAATCAACTAAGAGGTTCTGATAGTTTCAAAGATAAACTTCCTTACTATACATAGCTGTGTACTATTTTTGACACTTAACAACTGAATAGTCGGAAAAGCGCACTCTAAGATTTTGAAATTTTCTACAAATTAACAGAAAGCGAAATTCATCTTTTATGTCTGTGGATCAAGGTACATTCCTTACAATATCTTCGTTCTGAAGGAACATTTCTTTTTCTTCCAGTCTCAATGAATGCAAAGAAGTATTTAATCTACTGAGACATACATGTATTCTATACTTTACAGGAATATACTTCGTAAGATAAAATTGAAGAAAACAATTTGTACCATATATACCGCCATAAAGTGTTGATTAATAGCACCGTAGGCATGTGGTATAGACGGAATAATAATATTTTAATGAAACTACTTTGAATATGTGTTTACTATTATACTGCATAAATAATGGAGTAATGTGTATAATATGATGTACAGTTAACGTGAAATGACCCTTCATTGTCATTTTAAATGATTATTATATTAATGAAATACTTAAGTAACTCGGGCTGAACTTATATATTTTTGAAACATTCATTGAAAACAAGCTTACATGACCAATTTATTCAACAATGGTATAAGGATGTTACAACCCTGACCAGAGAAATAATAATAAAGCATGCCGCTACTTCTTCGATACC